ACAATGAACATAAATGGAAATTATTTTATTATATATTTAAGAGCTGTTTGATAGTTAAATAATGTTAAAAAATATTGACATGTTTAGCATATTATATATATTTTAGTGGCATGTGAATGTATTTTCCTGACAAACCGTGTGTACAAGTGGTTTATTCTTAAAACAGTCTTTCGCGAGTAGGTATATCAAGGCAAAACGTGTATTTGCGTTACACGGAACAGCTTTTAAAAGAAACGAGCTCTGCGTACCGTCCTGGGGGTCTTTTGAGGCGATCCATAAATACATTGGGTATAGCTGTTATATTATCTGGGCAAAGGTAAAAATACAAGCCGTCTCGGTCACTGTATATAATGTTATTACATTATCCTCGACAACGGTACCAAGGCAGAAGTCGCATCTCTCGAGAGACCTTGTTGACTTTTGCGGACAGCGTACGTTCTCTGTGTAAGTGCACTTGTCCATCTCGGGATTTGGGCGGCGGTCATATGTGATAATGGAACGCCTACACAAAATAAGCACATCATTTTTGGCTTTTTTCAACGTACAAGCCGTATTTTCGCATCATAATAATATAAAAAAGAATATCAAAAACTCGTATAAATTGTATGCGCCATCAAACCCGGTTAGCAGTCTCGACTCTTATTTCGATATATTTTTTTTTGTCATGTTATAGAAATGTTATTTATAAACATATAACAAATAAAATGTTGTTTCTGACACATATGGAATTTGCAATATATTATAAAAACCGTGACGTTGTAATCTTTTACTCACATTTTTACCCTTAACGTTTTTTCGCTATTTAAAAGTGTCTGATTTTTTAAAAATATTGTAATTTCTAATAATAACAGTTGAGTAATTTACAGATTAGTTACTATTAGTTTTATTAGTCGACTAGTTTTAGTTATTGACAGTTGTGTATTTAAATTATACAACTGTTTTAGTTGAAAAATAACACTTGTTTGGATAATATAACATAATAGTGTTTCGACTGTGTATTATACAAAATGTATTATTTGTTATACATTATCATATTTGTTTCTGTTATAATTTCTATTTTCACTAAGCTTGTTCTTCATTATTATAGTTAAAACTTATGATCATAATGAACACATGAATATTATGGGTTTCAAAGCTAACTACTATACAAACACGTTTACCATTATATATTTAAACATAATTTTCTTTGTAAAGTTGTGTTTGATCACTATTGAAATCTCGCGGCTTCTTTGATGTTCTATGTATACAGTAATAATAATAACAAATGTTAAATAAGAGCTTGTGTGCAATTACTATAATCTACCTACACGTACTTCAACCCGTGTACTTATTTTACAGATGCAACGCAACAAAACAAATAATAATAATAATAACAAAAAGAACAGATATTTGTTTTGAAATTCGTTCTGCCAACTTTGTTTTTTATCGACATTGCGATGTGATGGATATTTAAAAAATATTGAAAAATGAACGCGGCCGGATTCGAAAAAAAAAGTTTTCCCAGTTCGATTAATTTGTCCCTTTAGGATGCAATTCATAACTTGAACAGAAATAGCTTCAAGTTTTATATAATGTTATAAAAAAAAACCCCCCAAAGGGTATAGAAATAAAAGTTTTTTCTCAACTTTTTATTTATATTTCAACTATAATTTGTGCGTTACTACGACGAATAAAAGAAAAAAAAAATGTCCAAAGGAAATAATTATTTTCCAGATGTGATTTTGTAAATAGCTACAACCGATGATTGTTGCACTTTTCTCGTGTATTAGAGCCATTGTAACCGTTGTCATTTTCGCATAGCAAAGTTGTACACAAGTAAAAAGTATCGATTTCGTTATGAAATCTGGCTTTTTTATTCCAATGTAAAAGTCTCTGGAAAAAGTGTAAATTGTGATATTCGTGCGATACAATGAGCAGCTTTGTGTATTTGATTACTAATAATAATTGAGATATCATTGAATGAAGTTCAAGATTCGTGACTTTACTGTCAGTCGAAGGAAACATACTACTATACCTACACATCGGTTCACTTTGTGTGGTATACAAGACTACAAGGGTACGTTACACTATACTTGTCATGATTACTCACGCACTGATTGACCGGATGAATATCGAATCGAACGGGGCGTGTAAACAGACAAGTACCATAGGCAATGTGTAAGAGTAAAGCATTTCAATAAATCCGCACAGACCCTTCAGACACCACCGTTCGTTGGTTTGTTCGTTACCGTCTCCAGTGTAGATGTTTATACACATAAAAAAAAAAAAAGTACACTCGAAAAAATGAAAATATTATATTATGTAGGGACGAACAGCACTTGGTACGCTTCGACGGAGGTTCTACAGCGAGCGGTTATAGTCTTATTATATTATTACTTGTGCCATCATCGGGTTGATTTTTGTTTTCTGAAAAGCATACCTAATGAGATTGCGGTTTTCAGTTTAGTCGAGTATACGTTCAAACCGTCTCGGCCGAAAATGCCAACAAATTTCTAAATAACGACATTATTGATAATAATAAAAAAAAAAAACATTAAAGCACATTGCAAATTTGAAGGCCGGCACTGTCGCACTTCCAAAGTACCAGGGTCCTGGAACCCCGGTACCCATATTTATTTACTCGGTTCTCGATATAATAGTATAGTGTTGTTTACTTAAATCAAAATATTTATTAAAAAAAAAAAAATAATAATCAGTGCACACCATACTATATTGAATATATTATTATACTCACTAGCCAACAACCTAATATACATTGGCACCTCCCTCTGTCACTGGCCCGATCTAAGGAGTTGTCTCTCCTTCTTTTCGCGAAATTAATTCCCACATTTTTTAAATTATCGTTTGCTGGTTTTAATTTTAAAATATTTAAATTAATATTCGCGTGGACAAAGCCGGGCAGCGAGCGAAAATCGTTTGTAAGATGTTTATTATTTATCGAACGCGTTCATAGCGAGTTTGTAAGGTATTTTTTTTTTTTTTTTTTTTTTAATTTTTTTGTCGTCGGAGATTCTTTTTTGTCGAGTCGACGACGCGAAACGGTCGATCATATAATTATGTTTACCTTTCAGACGTGTCGTCGAAAATACTTAATAATAATACCATCTTATGCTACTCGGTCTATTGTCGAGTATACATCAAATAGGTGTATTATTATTATTATATATAGGTATTAAGTTTTCATTTGGTGATCGCCCACAGTGGCGGCCCAGGGGTGGTGACTGATAGTGAAACGAAAACACGGGAATATTGCGAAACGATTTTGTTTTTTTTCATTTCATACGCGTTCAAAAGACGTCCGGGCAGAACAGTGAACGGCGGTTGACGTGTAAAAGTCCAGAGGCCAGCAATAAAGGACGATAAAGGGGGAATAAAAAATAGATTAGTAAGTCAGGCACGTTTTTGCATTCGGCAAGGAGGTGAAGGGCAAGAGCAGCAGCAGCGGCGGCGGCGGCGACGGTACACGATGCGAGGGGCGGACAACCGCTATTCTCTACCCCTAAGCTACTTCTCGCCATATGGTGTGTGTGTGTGTGCGCACTGTTCACGTCTTATCGGAATGCAACTCACACGTCTCTCCGCCGTTTCTGACCTTAGGGGTGTATATGGGGCCAAAAATAATAATATAATATGACATATTTCTAATCTTTATTGCCGACGTTGCTTATGCGTTGCCAATAGATTTCATCGTGTATACATAGGTAATATAATAATATTAATTACGACACATTTGTATGTACACGCACGCCTTTTCAAACACTCCACACTTGCGTTGGATATGTTCACAGCCGGGATATTAATTTACAAAAAGACGCTCGTTCTCGTTAAATAAAAAAAAAAAAATCGAGATTTCTTTTTTTTCCACATAATTTTTGGCTTTATTAGTATATTATTGTATTATTACAATATTATTATCCTCAAATACTATACTACGGCACTTCCTCTCTAACCTATTACTTGAAATGCTAACAACTCCAAAATGAATTGTTTAAAACATTATAAATCTCATAGTAAGACGTTGAAGCAGTCGAGTCCTGAACAAGTTTAAAAAACCATTAACTTCACATTGGTTTGCATACTTGGTACATGATGTAGGTACAGTTCATCGGACTCGGTTGTGATGAATATGAGTATCAATTTAATATGACACTGGTTTTCTATTTAAATTTCATCGACTAAATTTTACTCATAATTACGCGTTTTTTCTCTTTCGTTGTAATATAAATTAACTTGACCCGATCGTCATCATTGTAATAAAACGTATCACAGCTTAAAAAAAAAAAAAAGTACATATCTTATTAAATAAAAGTGTACGGTATTTCCATTCGAAATAAGTTCATAATATGATAATATTATTGTAAAGTCGTTCGCTGCTGTATTTGCTAAAGCAACAGGCGAATCGAAAATGCTTCACTAAACTTAATTTATTTGGTTTTTATTATTAAAACACACATTCTCAATTTTAATTCATTGCGCTAATATTAAACAGCAATATTACTGTAAAAAAATAAAATACGTTAGACCACTTTGTATTTATTATTAAATTGACCGAAGTTTATTGGATTAGGTATAACGTTACCCTTTTAATTGAATGTCGAGAAGTCATATTTTGCACGTGTGGTGAGTTTGCTGCTTTATTTAGGGTTTAGAGTTTGGTCATCAATTTCTGGCAATTAAACTATTAATATTCCAATAGGTACTTAGGTTATAACTTGTGCGCGTTGAATTGTAAAGAAATAAAATTGTAAATCAATAGTGTAATGCGAAGGTCTATTAACAAAGCAAAGATTACTGAATATGTTGTTGTTATACTTGAGCAGAACAAAATATTGTTGTTGTTGGATGTATCAATTAATACTGTTAAGTACTTATCTGGAAAAAAATTCCATTTCCAGGCCGGCCTCGTGTTCTAAAATGATTTAATGTGTTAAAAAATTTAGATTAAGTCGGTGAATCGGACTTCAAGGCGTAACTAATTGGTTTTTTCTTCTTTATTTTAGTGCCGCCGTCCATTTCGGATTCATTGAGTAGTTCAGACGCTATCGTTAGGGAAGGTGCAAACGTCTCATTGACGTGTCACGTGGACGGTTATCCGAAACCAGAAATCAAATGGAAACGCGACGATGGCACACAAATCAACATCAACAAAACCCTTACCGGTAAGTTTGGAAAAGAAACTATTGATTTATACAACAAAAAACAGTCTCCTTCAATCTTTTATTGTTTTTTTTTTTCATTCCTACCTTAAATCAATCCTACACTTATATACATTTTTAAATGAGTCTTACTTGTATTCAACATAATTTAAATGGACCCCTTTCATTTTCCTGGAAAACTACTTTGTGGTTTGTTTTTTGAAAAATATTTCTATTCTTGGCATAATTTTAAGACCGTTTTACAATTACTGTAGATTAAACCTTAAAGTTTGGAAAAATATTAATTTTTTAAACCAAATGTCAATTATAATGTTTTTATAAATTAAAAAAAAAACAAAAAATTATTGTTAGGTTTTTTTACACTTATAACTACCAAATAGCAAAATGTTGATGAAGTTTATTCGTAATAGAAAAACAATTATTCGTGATTAAACATTAATTCTCTGTGTACGTGATTGAAATCGTTAACCACAAAAGAACCATTAAACTTAGATACAAATTGCCCAACACCGATTAATACTAAATATTGCACAGGAGACAAAAAACATTATGAAATCCTGGCTCGCGCAAACGTCGATAGAATAGCATAGTATTGTATAATATGTCCATTGATTGTAAAATGTATACAATATTTCATTAGGTATGTACCTATTATCGTTATTATTATTATTGTGTGATGTACAAATTTAACGGCCAGGTAAACGCTCTACAATGGTGTACCGCTTAAACGGCGTACTAGACCGTACTGGGACCGTTTGGCGACAATCCGAAAGTTTCACCCCCCGAACTCGCCACAAGAACAAATGGAAATATTAAACGTTTAACGACAATAATTATCGTTTTCCGCGGCCGTTATGTTTTCGCGCGATTGGCCTGTGTTAGAGGCGGACGGTGGAATTTCGTCTTGTTCGCCCGTTTAATTGGAACAATAATATCCGGTCCAAGTCGTCGGTGGGGCACGGGGAAATTTTAATAGCGACAATCCTTATTGGTAGCAATGAATCATTGACAGTGTAGTGGTGGTGTGGTATCCGCGCGCACACACAAAGGAATCCCAAAAACTTTTGAAATACGGACCGGCACCGAAGTTGGTCGTCCCCTCGCCCGAGTACACTGCCACTACCCGCACCCCCCCCCCCCGGGAGAACTTAGGTCCTACGATCTTCCCCTTTTGCCCTCTCCCGCCGAGTCGCTATTTCCTCCGTTACAAATATAAGTTATGTACTATGCGCGCGGTTCAAGATTTGCCGCAGCGCGAAGAGAACGTTATACGCCGTTGTTGTTGTTATCTATAATACCCTCCAGTCATCATACCCTTTCACGTTAAAGAACTTTACCACAACGATAACACGATACAGTAATTATTAAGATTTCCGACCTACCCCGCCGATGCGTGCACGTACCTACCTACGACGACCGAGTGTGTTGTTTTTTTTTTTGTTGCCATTTTATGTCTTTCCAGCGTTACCAAAAAAAAAAACCCAACGAAAATTTATCCTTATACATCCTTATATCTCCTTATATCCTTATATATCTTTTTATATAATTAAAACAATTTTTTAATGTCTCCCGCGGTTGCTGACTCGTACGCAAGCTGTTATCTTAAGCTCCATCTCCATCTCTATTTTCAGTTCCAACTCAAGCTCCAACCCTAATGGTTTTTTTTCTCTAATTTTTTTATTATCATTGTGTCGTTTGTGTTTGTCCGTTTCCGGCTTTCCCGTGGCTGCTGCAGTCAACGAATGGGCAGGACAAACGTTGGAGTTGCACAGGATCAGCCGGTTGGACATGGGCGCTTACTTGTGCATAGCCACCAATTCGGTGCCACCGTCGGTCAGCAAAAGAATCAAAGTCAGCGTGGACTGTGAGTAGTAAATAATATTACATTGTATAATATGTTATCTTTATCATAATACGTTGAACCGTATAAAAACGCAGCTCCGATTATTATAAAGCTGAACAAACGTTACATAGTTGAGTTTAAACCATTTTATAATATACTATTGAAAAGGTATCAACTTGGGAGAGTAACGCACCGATTATTTGTGTTGGTTTATTAACTCTGTTGTTTAACTCTGCCTACTCTGTCAATTACCTATCGCCTACCCCATACGCAGTTCATAGTAATATAATATGCAGGTTCATTGAAACAATATAAACAAGATGTTATATAAACAGTTATTACTAGCAGCTACCGTATTGTATAGTCGCCATCGTTCGCCTTATTCGCGCTCACGCTCTGCGTAGGTATGAGAGATAATTAATTAATTTGTTTTGTAGATCATAAACGAGTGGGTACAAGAGTTATGCACAGTTGCAATAACGCCGCGATAACACTTGCTTATTTCGTCCAATTCGCACTACAACGAATCAATAAAATATTTAATAGTATTGTATTTTTCCTAAATCGGAATCGCAAAAGGATAGTGATTTTGTTTAACTCGATTATCGCGGTTTTTAATTAAATTGTAATTTATGTACGCTTTATTATTATTATTATTTAAAAGGGATCCGCGTACAGGCGTTATTATCATACATATTATGATAGCTACCCGTAATATTAAAACGCGACGGTTATAAAATTTATAATTTATTTTTAATTCGCTTCCCGGCGGAACACGTATGACGAATGATTTTCTGTTGCCTACCCCGCCGCCTTCCAGGTGTACCTGCCAGTGCTGCAGTGTGTTGGTGTTATGTGCAAAAAAAAAAAAAAATTAAAAACCGCAAAATCTAAAAAAAAACCCTTGTCGCTTCAACAGAGCCCGTGGCGGCCGCAGCGACGATTGACATGTTTCATTCGCCGTAATTGCATTTTATTCCATTAGCTTGGTCGAATTAGCCGCAAAAATGTCTATATATATATATATACACCACCACATGAATAATTCCACCGGATGTTAATTTTTCAGTAGCCGTAAACACACACCGCAATCGTACGCATAAATATAGATATGTTCAAACATGTATTGTCGGGCTAAATAATACAATATTATAAACCGTATATAAACCAATGTCGTCTCCTCCGCTCACTCGTTTGTGTCGTCGGTCTGGCTCTTTCCCGTTCACGTTTATTTTTCCACCACCCTATCATGTTTTATTCCCTCTTCCTACCCTCTTGCAGGGCTACCCTATACCGGCGACGATGTCATTTGATCTACCGTTTCCAGTATATTTCATTAAAATGTTAATGTACCGACTCCATTATTTATGAATTACACGTGAAAGGACTTGCTGGAAAAAAAAAACAGCGGTGTTATTTTTTTTTTCGTTTATTCGGCCGCGATTCATTCCGAAGACAGCCAAAGCCGTGTGGTGCCTGCTATGCAATAATTGAGGGAGGGTAGGTTTGAAGAAAAACCCATTATTTATAAGTCTGTGCGGGTTGTATGCAAAACGTGTGATTCGGATATTCTATGCGACGGTTAGACACTCTTTACAGAATAATAAACTATTATACATTAATAAACAAATAAATTACACAACACCCGGCGACGCGGTAGTGTTATGACTTTCTTCTTCTAAGCCTGCTAATGAAAAATAGGCAAATTATCAAGTACGGTAAAATATCACTTCTTCGGTCTTCACTCTCGAATTCTCAAGTTATGTGTTGCGAATTAGTCCAAATTGTATATTTGCTAAGAACTGTAATACATTGCCTGGCCGATGTCACAATGTTAGCCTAACCATATTGCTGACGTATAATAGTAATGAAGATAATCGCTTTCATAAACAATAATAAGCTTTTATTTCATTTGTTGTTGTTCTGTAAAATTTCGGTGTTACACTCTTTGTTAAATATGATGAAGATAAATAATAATAATTAATTAAGTTTAATCTTTCCTCGACTCCCCTTTGCGAAAGTACTGCCAGACGAGGCTACGGTTTGGGGTTTTTTTTTTTTTGGAAAAATCAGTATTCGCTGAATGTCATCGACGACAGCAAGCCAGTCACTATGATGTGAACGGAAGAGGGACAACAACAACAGGGGCGTAGGGCGCAGATTTATATACCGTACCGGGTTCTCAACAGAACCTTAAAGACAAAAGCGTCCATTAATAATCATTAAAAGGCGTTTATACGTATAATAATAATAACATAATAATAATAATAACACTAATAATATATATATTTTATAATTTATAACTATAATAATATAATGCACGGGGGCGCGTGTTACCCCATATTATAAAAGATGCACCGCAACGTTAAATAATGAATATATATATATATATATATATATATATATATATATATATATATATATATATATATATATCTTTGGGATCGCCAGGTATTACCGGCAGCGTCACGGAAACTGCGACCCTGACACAACACAAAGGGTTCAATTAATCATCGGTGTTAAATAGCTGGTCGTCAACGTCGCAGCAACCCCGTCTACCGTACTTAGGGGCAGAGGGAAAACACCCCCTCTCTTCATCTCGCGAGATTTCTATTTTTTTTACACCTCTTTTATTTTATAATGTTTTTTAATACCACCGCACTACCGTTGTGTCCAAACGATGGTCCGTTTAGTCATTCCACCTCTCGCCTCTTCCTCCTCGACGAATCCCTCGCTCCCCTCCCCCCCACCCCTCTCGTATATTGTTGCGGGAAAACCAAAATAATTATCACGGTCATTACAATTTGATATTTAACGGCAATTGTTCGAAACTAAAACTAGCTATACATATATAATATAATATATAAATTACAGGTCAGGTTGGAACTCGTGTTCGTGTAGTAGGTATATGAATTTATATTTTTGGCAAACTGGAGTAGCTTTTTTTTTTTTTTGTCTCTCCGAAAACTTTTTACCGAATGATACCGCGTTGTGAACTTTTGGGTATTTTTTCCAAAAAAAAATGTACGATTTTTTCTACTATTACATATTGTTGCTGTTTTGAGCGCTTGTTCCGATTCGATAAATTACAACAAAAAAAAAAAACGCCGTTATCCGTATAGATCGGATGGAATGTTTTGTGCTTAGGTACCGCACCAACCGCATAAAAGAGAAAATGTGATATCATCGAAAAGCCCAAATGGAATTTATAAATACCGTTTAAGCTCGGCATAAACGTTTCATACCGCAAAACGATGATGATGAGCTATAAAATTAAAAACAAATACCGTACTAAATCCGTTTCGTTTATACACAGCTATGTGATTTTTTTCTAAACGTTACATTTCCCGTAATACCGTTTTTGTTTCGACTCGATTGTTATCTCCTGATTGGTGTTCAACAGTTGACGGTAAAATCGGAGTAGTTTTTGAAAAAAATAACATCAACTTTTCCATTGCCGTCGCCGCCGCTTGTGTTAATTTTCTCTAAGACCACCAACGATAATTTTGTAAAATGGTTTTGCAAGGAGTTTGTGTTGTGTATTATGTTATTTTTTAACGAACAAGATACAAAATAAATGTTTAAAAGTTTTTAATAACATTTCCGTCTGACAGGGCAGAGTTTTGAAATTACATTTCATATTTCTCGTCTTTAAACGAATTAACTTATTATGTAGACAGCATTTCGCTCTGTCTCACTCTGTCATCGGTAAAAACTATATTTAAAACATTGTGGCAAATTGCTGGTACATTGTGGTGATAAACGCACCGGCGATTTCAAACGAATACCTCTGTGATCGACGGTTTGGTTTGTCTTGTTCGCAGTTCCGCCTATGCTTTGGATACCTCATCAACTGGTGGGCGTACCGTTGGGTTACAACGTGACTCTGGAGTGTTACACGGAAGCACATCCGACTTCGTTGCACTACTGGACTCGAGACGACGGCCAAATGCTGCACGACAACGGCAAGTACAAACCCGTGTCCATCCAGGGAAACCCGTCTTACAAGGTGCACATGAAGCTCACCATTATGGACGTGTCCCAAACCGATTACGGCATGTACAAGTGTGTGGCGAAAAATTCTCGCGGTGAGACCGACGGCGTCATTCGGCTGTACAGTAAGTGAACACATCTATTACTTGGGCCGTACACTTGCTTGCATGCGCTTTGAGTAAGTTGGCTTTTTCAGACCGCTTGGGTTTTTTATCTAACGGCTTTTGAATCAATGTCTAATAAATCGATCGAAAATCGCCCGTGCGAAGTCCTAACTCCTAATATTCAATTAAATTAAAATATATTATACTTTTAGTACGGGTCTTGAGTGACAAAATAAAAAGACGTGTGTGGCGAGACGTGTAATGTTTAAACTTAAGCCCACGCCAGTACAAAAGTATTTAGCATTCACAATTGTCTTGGTGCTACAGCGTGACAAACGATTGGGTTACTTACGAATATATTACTATATGAATAATATTATCAAGCGGTGTCGAGTATAATTTACTATAGCTTTACCGTTACACGCTAACAATGTAGACTTAAAAATGATAATACGCACGCTTTATTATTATGCTATGTAGATTTAGTAACTTAGCTGTTTTAACTATATAATATGGTTACACGCAAGTTAATTCCCGGTGTTAACATCACATTCGACAGCTGTGCGGTTAAACTTATTTGTTGTGTTTTTGGTGCATTAACAAAAGCCGTACAAGTATGTATTGGAATTTAAATACTGCGAATGAAATAAAGTTGCTCTGCGATTAAAGCGGTGAAAAGACATGACACTTGGATCAGTATCCAGAGACTAGAGCGCGGTCCGGCCGTGTTGTACTTCCGCTGTATGCCGGAACTGCGATCCGTGCTGCAAGTATTATAATTATTATTTTCTCCTTTTTAGATCGGCTCTCGAGGCCAGATGACGTGGTGACGTGTCAAGACCGCAAGAATCCCTCCTCCTCTAGTACACGACACAAGCAGAGCATTTTGAATAAATTTCCCCGCTCTCCGGGCAATAATAAATGCATATTCAAAAGCTGCGAGACACAACACCACTGGCCGAGCCGTCGCGTTTGACGTTTTAAAACCGTCCCCGTAATTCGACCACAGACCCATTTACACGCCATACATATACGTACCTACTGCCTACACGTTTTAATTCCTATGCATATCTATATACACACGGATGCGGTTCCGAATTTGTAATTAACATGCCACCCGCGGCAATACGCGTGCATGGATGGCGCCTAACCGACATCGGTGGTCGCCGTTTGATGATGCGTTCTGCCCGGAAAACGGCTGTTGAAAATATAATTAATTTCCTCGGATACGCCACCGGTTAATGACCAATTTCCCGGTACAAAAGGACCAGCCGGAAGGTGACCGCTCCTTCTCTCCTCCTCCTCCTCCGATATTTATTTCCCCTAAACCGTTCAGCCGAAGATCTACAACAAACGGTCGACGCATGCATCCGTGTCTTAGCGATGCCAACAAGAGTATGACTGGCGGCCTGAGAAAGAAAAGTGTCCCGAGAGTTGCTCGATAACACGTTACTAATTTTGAAAATCGGATAATAGAAATGCGCATCTATGCTATATTATACATGTATATTATGCAAACCCTTCACACCGCACTCTCTCTATATAATTACTACAGCACTGGCGCCACAGAATAATAATTTACATCAATTTCCTTTGATCAATGTAACTTTTCCGGTACACACACTTCCTTTATGGGAGGATCCGTTATTATATGTAATAAATATATATTATATTTGGAACGTCGACATTTTTATAAAAAAAAAAAAAAACATTAGCGTGTGTGTGTGAGGTATACTCTTAGGCAAATAGATTTATTACAAATTTAATATACTGGTCTAGTTAAATACATTATACGTCAATCATTAACACATTAATACATCCATTTGTTCAGCCGAACCCATCAAATCCGCGCCTAGTTGCACATAATATGGGTTTAATTATTTTTTAATCTAACTTAAGCCGTTCATTATTTTTTAACATTACTTAGCATATGTCGTCGTGTTAATTAGATATTATGTAGTATAACTATGTGAGGCCCAGTGTTCTTTGTAAGAACTAAATAATAAATAAATAACACATCTAGTACACATGACGTTCTATGCCTGATGTTGTGTTGTGCTTTTATATGTGTCCACTGTTATTGCATGCTGTTGTTTTTTTAGACTGTGTGTGTCGTCTGTGTATATTATGTATTTCGCACGATTACATTGATATGAATAAGGAAAAAATTAAGTTTATAATAGCACTGTTATTCTTGTCTAACACTTTTCTTGTCTATCTGTTGCAAAGCTTCACACCCACCCACTCTGGCACCAGAACTTCAGAGCACGGAGAACCCTTCCCCTTCTGGCATCCCAGCTTTAGGTAAGACGGATATCAACGTTTTACCCGCTTTCAACTATACTCTGTGTTATACAAACTTTCTGTATTATTTTCACTACAACAAACGTTATTTTATTCACTATTCAAATGTCTTAAAATATTGTCTTACAAAGTATATTACTTAACAACTAAACTATTAAGCGAGAGTTTATGTGTATTATAAAAGTTCGTTATGTAGTGTTTGTAAGAAAATGTTGAATTAACCAAAAACTAAAAGGCTAACAGTATAGTGACTTATTTGAGAATTCGCATTTTTTTTTTTTTTAATACAAAATCACGAGAATTAATAACAACGATTCATTTTTTTTTTTTGGCTAAATATTTGGAAAAGGGAATGACATAACAACGAAAATATTTGCTGTGATTTTTTCTTTTTAGCAAATTACCACTATATTAATTTCGTTTTATTAAATTCCAGTTAAATAACTCCTCAAAAAAAAAAATATATATATATATATTCAAATTAACAATAAAAAAATGTCCATTTCTGTTTACGCACGAAATTATTTACAACATATACATGAATGTTGTGCAAGTATAATGAAAACCCCATCATAAAAAAGTTATAAATTGTAATTGAAATTCCAGAGAATTTTTTCACTACTTATTTTATCTTTATCCTTCTCTCCGGGGATGTAACACTAAATAAAAACGCCGCTTTAAGTTGCCTCATTCGAACATCAGAGGAAATTATTTATTTTACATTGATAAAGTTATAATAATATCCTTCAACAAAACTTATTTTAAAATTACAGCTCACTGTGTATAAAGTAAAATATATCTTTGAAGGTTATCCTTTAATCCACGTTCGAATTGTTTAAATTGTTAATATTGGCGTAGAAAGATACACATGATATTATAATCTATTTTCCCACAGCCTAAAAATATTTTAATTTGCATAATGAAAAGCATTAGAGTTTAAAACAATTTTTCAACTGTTCAAATAAATTACATAACAGTTTAGATCAACTCTAACAACAAGGTGCACTCGAGTTTTGTCTTACTTTTCCAAGTCTACCCAATTGAAGTAAATACCTATACTATAGAATATCAAGTTAAACCTAAGCCGGTTCTTTGTCAAAACTGTCATCTTGCTGCTTCTTGTCGTTTCTTGTTCATTCTTCAACGTAAACCATACTGTTTACACTTACTTACACTATAAAAATAGAGTTTACATCAAAAAAATTGAAACGGACCGAAATTACTATTACAATATTATGCAATAAAATAATATACAAAATGCGTTTGATGTCTTAATATTTTTTCTTTTCGGTTCTCGTCCTTACACCGTCCGTGCACCATAACATAACATTATAGCATACATAATATAAGCATACATCTAAATCATGGACCTATGTTTCAGGTCCGCAATGGCCGACCGGCAACAACGATTTGGAAAACGGCTCGTCCAACAACATGAACGGAAATGAAGGGAAAAAAGGTAATAATAAACAGGCCACGAAGGGGAGGTGTGTGTGGGTTTGTGCGGGGAGGGGTTGGACAAGAGGAAAACTGTTCGGTTAGGCGGTCACAGTTGTACCGGTGGCGTTATTCGCGAGGTTGATCGTGCTCGCCACCGCAGTGTTGTAGGGACAAACGCCGACAGATGTTGCGTTCATTATAATAGCGGCAAGGGTACACAACAATATTATAAGGGAAGAGCGAGCGAACAACCCTTCGGGTAAACCTTCGACATTCGATTATGGAAACAACCCCCGACGTTCTCGTCTCCAACCTTCCCTACCTCGTCCGACCAGCAGCCCCTTACGGAGAGAGCGATCGGCGTTCTGTGTATCATCATTCGGCAACAGCGTCCACCGATGTTGCTTTACCGCCTTCGCCGTTTTTCTCCTTCTCGGGGTCCTTCGTCTTGTCTCCCGTCCGATTCCCGTCAAGATCCGTGGCACCCCTGGCACGTAACCCACCGAACACGTGCGTTAAACGTTTATTTTTATTATGACCGAGTCGACCGCTTTGGCCGATAAAGTATACAAAAAAACAAAAAAAAAATCAAAGGTATTTTGGCCGCAACGAGGGATAACAGTGATAATAATAATAATTATTGATAGTAACGTAGTCGGGACCGCTTTTATCTTGTGTACCTACGCTTTGGTCGAGAATAGAGGAGGGTTAAAAAATTCCTGGAACAGAGGGTGAGGTTGTTATAACTCGTCGAGTGCAAACTGGTTGAGCCTTTGTTTGACTTCATCCCCTTATATATAGCACGGGCAGTTTCGGAGTAGGGTTTCCGGGGTAGAGATTTTGTTTTTGATTATTAACGAGTAGTGTTGTTTCTTATGTTCCAGCTGGCGACAACACAGTTCTAAACGAGATCGGTCAATCGGGACAGACGTTTGCGGCAAAACCGAAAAATTCCAACGGCCACAAAGGGCTGTCGAAAAGTAAGTTTGCTACATTTAACGGCCAGTGGAGCTACGCCAAGAATAATAATATATTACGAAAACGGTAATATATGTTGATATGGCGTATTACCCGCGGCAATCCGCTAAGGGCCGTCCAAGTGAAATTTTATGAGCAGACCGCGTAAAGGGAAAACTGGGGATAATTGAATATGTCCTGGAGGATATTTACCGACTAACGTCCTGTTTTTTTGAGAAGGGATAGTTTCTGTTCTGTACTCGTATTTACTAGCTGTATTTAATTGCTGCCGGATTATTTGTCAAGTTAATTTGCATTTATTATAATAGTCACGAAACGGACGCATAATTGGCGTATTCAAGTTTCGACTTCGATGATTAACATTTAATCGACAGTTGTTTCATACGTCAGCTTCACACTATCTGTGTGAATCACTGAATTTTACTAACATGATTTTTGTTCCATTAAATGGCGTTTTCCGCGGTTAATGACAGGCGGACACGCAGGCTAACGGTGAACCGTGGAAAATCGGGACGACCAGGTATTTTCGTATGTCGGTTGCCCGCGGTCAATTAGATAATGAAGAGAGAGAGGGGTCTTTGGGTAATTTCCGGAAACGGATTACACCCGCTGTCGAGACCCCCGCGGATTCGTATCAATTTTCCTTGTGACTTGACCGTCTCCGGTTACGACGGCCCCGTGTGCTGCTGTCTCATCTTATACATAATAATGGATCACGCGGTTGCTGCGAAATGGCCGGAATGTCGTCATAGGGTCACGCACACCCTCGTGAAATCCGCAAGCACACGTTATAGTTAATCCGGGCCGCTGACAAACGGGGGATGCAAGATTACACTGTCGGGTAACCGTGTAAAATTAATCTAGATGGAAAAAACCCAACAATTATTCCACACTTACGAGCTTTTACATTCGTCTTTTTCGAATTTGAATAATAACAATCATTACACAGTTGGCTTGTGTGTTGTTTTATTAATAAAATTACTAACGACTTAAGAAAAAGTGTACTTTAAAAATCAATACAAATATAGCCATTAGAACTGATATAACATCAGGTACAAAACCCTCTGACCCGCGGGGTATAGGTAATAGTAAAACACTATTATCTCTACAACGTTTTCGAAATTTTACTACCAGCAAATAGTATTACCATTACTAAGAAAATATTATGTAGGTCGTTTAGCGGATTACAGTAAATTACATACATAAAAAATAAACGTTATACGGTTTTCTGATCGTCCGAGCACTTGGGTTCACTTTGGAAATCTCGAATTTCACTTCAACCCCGCACGCACCGAAATCTTGCCATTAATTTCTGACAGTAAGTTCTATATTAATATAATATAGCTGCTGCCGAAGCCACCGAAATCCTCTTATTGCCGTTATAGCTATAAACCGATGAAGAGCCCCCGGAGACCACTTAAACGACGTACCGCAGACAAAAACAATAAAATATATAAGAACAAGTTCACCGACGTTTACACAATACAAAATATAAATATTATTTTAAGTGTAGCGTTCGTTTTCATGTAAAATCTCCAAAGCAATTGTTTATAGCCACGCCGATTTGTGGTTAAATAACAACGTTTAACATGCGTTTTCTGCGCCCTCCCCCTTTTCTACAATCCAAACTTTACAAACAATTAGTTTGTAACACTTGTAAGAATTCGTTTCACGACGATTTACGCTTTTCGGTGTTTTTAAATTTAAAGTTAAAATTGAAAAGTTTACACAGGTTAAATAGTGTATGGAATTGTATATATTAATACAAAATTATATTACACTGTCTCAAAAGGGCCATTTTGAGTCAAAAACTAAACAAGAGGGTTATACATAACGAGTTAACCGCACCGCGAAATTTACAAATTACAATTATTATTATTTCTGATATTTTAATCAACAACTTTTCGTTTTCAAAGTTGCCGGACTAGTAATTAAAATGTCACTTTAGTATTGTCGAGCTGAGTTGTGACCAAAACAAACACAGCCTATTGTAGTCCATTGATATATTAATGTATACACAACATTAACCTATTAAATAATTATTTTATAATAATAGTGTTTTCTCTTGCTCAACGTTTAAACATGGTTTTTACTAAATTGAAAATAAACCAAAATTTGCAATTTTAAACGAGGCCATGGAAGAAACTTGGAAAGAATGTATGGAAGAAAGTTTTTGTAAAATAAATCATCATGTATATTCGTATATTGCTCATATATATGTACAGCTTTTTTATTGGATTTAAAAAATATTTTTCGATTAAAAACGTGATCTGGTTGTATTAACCGCATGAAACCTTTTTCATTTTTTTTTTATCACTGTTTCAGATTCGACACCGGAACCCAAGATGCCGACCGCAACATCCTTGTTGCTGGTAACAGCCGTGGCCCGTCTAATGATGACCGGCGGCCAGCCGATATAAGACCATAATATTATCAAAAGCACGACAAAAAATTGTTAAAAAAAAACAAACTCAAAACTACAAAAAAACATAACAAATTAACAAGCTCAATCTCTGTCCCATTCGTGTCTCGTACCCAATTCTAATACCGTGTAATATTACCACCGTACTGTCGGCTGTATCGGTCTTCTTTCTATCTCCATAACTCGTTCCCCTCGCCGAGTCACAGCACAATGAAACAAATAAAACAATAACACTATTATTATTAGTATTGACGACTATAACTGTACAAGGGGGAAATAAAGTATGAAATACAATATATATATAATATTAAGAAGAAAGAAGTAGAGTAACACATAACAGCAGGCAAGTTGGGGAATACACCCTCGCCCGATTGATTATAATATTATTATTATTATTTGCACGTTCCTCGAGTTCTAACGCAATTATTATTGTATTACTATTATTATACTATCGTATATTATCATTATTATTGAATTAACGTATTAATTATACATATATACATGTATATTTACCACTGGACGAGGAGAGTTCGTTATTCTCGCCCAAACCGATTTCCCATCGTCTCTGACTCTACGCGTTAAGGGTGCAAGCAACTACCTAAAATTATCATTACTACTATTATTATTATTACTACACGAGTGTGTATAGGTAAAAATAAAATGACTCTAGTATTCGGCAACGCATACAATATTATATTAGAGAAGTGTCACAGGTATACTACACATTAGTTGTTTAGAACAATATCACTTTACGATTTTTGTGTACATAATTATAATAATACCTAATAGTTTATCGAATCGATTGATTTACTTGTATCATGTATCACACACTACACACACACACACACACAACAAATTATTATAGGGCTAGTCAATTTTTTGTTTATCAATTTTTTCCTATAATAACAATTTATACGGTTTGTATATTTTCTTTTTACGTTATTCGCCGATTATTTTTTTACACCGATATTATTTCATACTTAATTTGTTTTTTTTTTTTTAACAATTATTATTCCATCACATAGTAAAAACAATACATTACAATTTGTATTTTTTTTTCTTTTTTTTTTTTATAGTTCTGTTTATGTCATACCTGTATTTGTTACGTTTTGTACAACATTATAATGTATAATATATATTATATGGAAATAAATTTTAATAAACCCCGTTACAACTAGTTTCTACTATCATCCTGCTGTCGTTTCAGCTTCTCACCTTTTTTTGATGTTAGGTTTTAGTTACTGAGAAAATCAAAGGGTAAAAAATTATTCGAATAGTGTCAAATTCTTACTACAGATGTGTATGGTAAAATTTAAATATTATATTTAACAACGCTGTATGAACACAATTTAAGTACAATCATATACATATTTTTTTTTACTAACTAATTTCTGCTCAATTAATTATTTTACAAAGATTATACAACATAATTTCATATATTTTAGTTCTTGTGAAAAAATGTAAAATTTTGTTGTACAGTGTACTGTCAAAATAGGATAACTAGTAATATGTGATTATCCTGGTTGTTTACACTTAGAGGACAAAACTATAAAACGTGAATTTGAAATAATTCTCTAAATATTTAATAAGAGTTCCACTGAAAAAATATTTCAAAATATATTTGTTAAATTACCTATCATTATTTTAAAATTATTATTTATATTTTTTTACCAGTATAAACATTTAATAACAAAAATATTTTAGTTCCCAACTCATTAGACAGAATACAAACAGAGTAGGGTATGAACTTCAAATCCTTCTAAACTACTTCAGGCTCTCGAAAAATGTAAGCAATAGCCATAGCCCCCTTAGTAACGTTTCTAATTTTTATCGAAATTCTGAGGAAGCTTAAAGAGTTTTTAAAAGATATGAACTTACCCCGGGCCTCGCTCTAGTTGTGCCAATAGCCCATAGCGTTTATCAAATATAAAACCATTTGACCTAATTTTTTTTTTTTAAAAAATACACAAACAAATGTAATTTGCCACTGCCGTGTACGGTATTTTAATACGGCAACTTCTCTTTTTTCTTGGCGTAAATCCTCCTGCTGAACTATTTCTTAAGACTATCGCTTGACCAGCGGCGATTTCCCCGTATGCGCACATAGACTACGTGCAGAAGTTAAGTCGAACACAAACATAAAAACAGAGAAAAAAAACAACGGCCTAGTGATGTGATAACCCTGAGTCGAGCTTAATGAAAACCGTTACCGCGGGTAAGTACAATTATGTGAATTGGTTTTGCCCCGGATCGACGCACAAAGGCGGGGCGGTACAGAGACCGAGCAAAGGATGCGGGAGAGCGGGTGGGTAGGCCGTTTCAAATTAAGAAAGGTCCGACATTAATAATTCGTCACGAGAAATTAATTTTTAGTGTCAAATATTGACTCGTAATCTACCGTAATGATAATGGCTCGCGATACGCGCGTACCGTACACCGGTGGGTCGGTTAGACAATGCCACACAATGGGCTGCTCGCTTTACATCCCGGCAAAATGAATTATTCAGATGTGCGGCACGGCATGGGGAGGGGTCGGTATACCCCTTGGGGGGGGGGGGTGAGAGGGGCCGAACAAAGCGGGGACAGAGGAACACTTAAAACGCCGGAAGCGGCGTAATAATTTAAACAGTTCGCGTTTCCAGTTGCGACTCGAAGGTATTACACAAGAACAATAATAATAATAATAATAATAATATAATAATAATATGATATAACAATGTAAACCGAGTGAGTTTGGGGTGGCCGAAGCACCCGTCGGTTGACGTGAGAGCGCGCCAAAGGTTGCCACCGGATCGGAAAATGTTCATTTTTTATGCTTGGCCGTGACAAAAAAAAAAAAAAATGCCCATGTTAAAACGTTTTTGGACACAAAGAAAACAACCACACACGATTGTAAAACCAACGACTTTTCTCGTCTGTACGCCCAAGAAACACTCAGCTCAATAGACATTTTTATGGATGTATTATCGACTAATGTATAGATAACGTTATTTTCATTGTAAATCAGGACGAATGATTTGCAAACGAGTTCATCCCGGGCTATAGAAAGACCTAGTAATAATATCACAATCACAGTCCTCAGGGAACAACCACGGTTGCACTGTAATTTGTTAACTAACGAGGAATATAATTGTGTCGTTCATTGCAAAAGTGAATTGTCTCCTTGTAATTAAATTGAAAAATAACCAGCTTTTTGTAAATTAATATCTATCAAAGACGACAATACAAGTGTTCGTTCAGTGTTTTCTATTAATGCAATTATCGGAGTCGCTTCTTCTCTTTTATAACGAAAGATAAGACTAAATGTGACTCCGTTAAGCGAATATATGTATAATTTAAAAATTTGTTAAATACAACCGCGGTGTATAATTAATTGTACAGTGTGTTTAAACACACACTAGAGACCGAGTAAATGTTTTTGATAATAATTATATTATTGTATTGCGAAGATAAGCGAGCAAAAAGAGACATTTGGCGAGTGAGAGAGAAAATACGAACGGTCTGAAAGATTTATTAGTAAAAGTCCAAAGCAACAAAACTCTGGTCTAGAATGGTAATTCTAAAAGGACCAAGAACATACACGTGGAACGTTTAAAAATTAAAAAAAAAAAAATGATTGCCACCTAACTAATACAATACAATAATATCTTGTTTGTATGATTAATGATATTACTGCAAGCTACAATAAAGTTTCAGGTGTATTATAATATTGATTATTGCCAAATATTTTACTACCCGAATACTTACTGGATGTTGCGATAAATTATTGCTGTTGTTTTCCTATTCGAATAGTTCAAATGTCGCATGGCTTAGTTATTTCTATTACAAAATAAAATTATAAATATAGGTTCTATACAAGCTGTAATTCATTTAGAGTTCATTCTAAGAGTTCAGTTTGTTATTACAATGGCGAGAACGGTAAGTTTTATTCGACAGCTAACTTTTAAAATTTTAATACTTCAGATACTTATGATTTTTAACTATAACAACAGTTACAACGTATTGGTATGGTGTACCCATAAACTAATTAGGTTTGTTTAAAGTCTCATGGCATAGCTCAACTAGTACTATTACCTACTACCTGTACATAACATTTTAAAAGTGTACCATATTAAGTTATCCGTTTCCTAGTAAAAACTTGAACCTTTTCCAAAAGTCACAAAACAATTTTATCAAGCTACATAGGTAAATGAAAAAATAATTTAAAAAAAAACAAAGGTTTTACGCATTTATTTTTACAACAGAAGTTATTTTATTTCTTACCTCAAATATGTAAAAAAAAAAAATAACGATATCAACAATACCGTTAGAAGTTGAAAAATAAATTTTCTTTCAGTTTTAAACAAAAAAAACTCGCTGTACATCACAGATATGTTTCAAAAGTAAGACAAGTAAAAACATTTGTGTTTTTGAGTAAGACACAGTCCTTTAATAAAAATCATATTTTTCAATTTCATTGTTGCTTTTGACTTGTGTCACTTTTGCAATATGATCATGCCACTCACATTATAATACTTTACAGTTAGGTTTTTACAAAGTTCTTAAACATTATCAGCACCTCGATGAATGGTTTACCATTTACACTGATATGCAAACAATTACTATAGCAACATCACACTAAAAAAGCGTAGTGTCTAATTGTTGTACACATTAAGTAGCAAGTATGGATGTGATAACTAAATTATGACAAAATGAAATCGACTATACTTAAAATTCAAATGAAAAGTGGCCATAACGGGTGTTCTATAGACCGCATCGACACAACATCATTTTATCATTACATTGTTGATCTTACATTGGAGGTAACACATGGCCGTGTTGGGAACACACTGAGACACGGTTGTCGATAATTACATGTAAATAGCGACTTCTACCCTTCCACACACCTCCGTCTATTTTATCAAGACCGCAAAGACAACAGCAACAACAACGACGACACAGAATCCCCGCATGATCTCGCTTCCCGGCAGCGGATAATGATATACAAATGACAAGCCGCTTTCGTTTGGTTCCCCGTGCTCGATAGTGGCATGTCCGGATCAGTCTACCCGTCTGTCACATGGCGAAACCACCATCCGGGTTTTTTTTTCTCTCTCTAAATAAGGAAAACGCCACAAGACGACGGGTAATATGACCACATAAATGCAAATAAAACCTATCTGGGATAGGCGCCTGAACAATCATCTTCAACCGGCCAAATCGGTCAGTGAATTCTAAAGATTCTCAACGTACGCACTTGCTTGATTTTTAAGGAGTCGGTCTCCGTTTTTTTTCTCTTCTTTATTTTTATATACCAATCATAGATGTTATCCGTTCGAGCGTACACCCCGGCATATCATATAAACCCTTTGTGCTATTATTTTCCAGTATATATATATATATATATATATGTATAACATCATACTGAATCGTATGTACAATAATAATGTGTATTCGTTGTTCGAAGAAATATCTTGATTATTTTTCTTTCTGGCGCATCTGCCAAACTAGCAGATTTTAATTTTCTTTTACAACAAATCCATGTAAACGGAGTACACTCCCCCTACTCGTCCTCAACGGTATGCAAGAGACGAATTCGTTTTCATGCTGTTGCCATCATTCGGGTCAGTAGTAAACAGACAATAACGCAACAATATAGATTTGGGTATGCAATCACAGTGTATTGAACTCGCCAAAGTAGTATAATACGAAATAAAAATTACAATGCTACCGACTAAACTGGCTGACCCAAAAAATATCAGGAACAATAAAAATATATTATGCACCATAATTTGAGAATGTACCAATCGACTACCATGTAAGTTCTCTACGCAAGAGAAACGATTTATTTCTAAACAATTTCATTTTATCCAAAATCACCGTTAATGGCATATTATTTTTGTGATTCGACTGTAATCTGTATCGTTTTGTTCCGTTTGCAAAAAACACCTTAATATTTAACAAAAAATTTAAAAAGTGCAATTAAACGTTTGATATAGTATTCCAGAAATATTATAACAAGCGTTTTAGACT